GGCTCCCCGGCCGCCCCCAAACCTCCCCGGGCCGGGGGGTAGGGGGAGCGGGTAAGCGGCGTACCTCGCGGCGGTTCCGAATCAAACACGGGCCTTCTCCAGCCCGGCGCCGCCCTGGCTTCCCGCAGCCCCCGGGCGGCCGCCGAGGAAGCGACAGGAAGCGCCCGCCCTGAAGGCGCTGGGCGCAGAACACGTGACTCCTCGGCCGGGCAGCTGGTACTGCGCATGTGCGAAGCGGGCGGGTGGATTTTTCCCCAGGTGACTCCAAGGGTGGGGTTCCCAGTGCGCAGGCGCCTTCAAGTAGGTACGACGAGACTCGCCGACCGGAGCAGCGTCAGGCATTCGCCCGCCCGGCTCGAGCCGCTCGCGCAGAGGAGCTGTGACCCTCCGCGGCCCAATTACCCCCACACCAGGTCCCTCGATCTTCTCTCCCCGAACACGGCTCAGGGGTGCTTGTGGCCGGTGTGTCCCGCCTCAAGTCCACGCCTCACTCTTTTGCCCCGCCCTGGGGGCGGGCCGGAGGCGACGCCGCTTTGCTGGGCTCCCTATTCAGAAGTGGAGCCCGCCCGGGTCCGCTCGCAATCCGGCCTCTCAGATGTGCTCCTTCCCAGTTAGGTGGCTGGCTAAAAGTCCGGGAAAGCAAGCCCAGCGCATTGACTCTGGAAGGCAGAGGCCGAAGGGTCAGGAGACATAAGGAGACCTTGTTTGAAAAGCCTGAAAGCTTAGGCTGCTGAAGCCTAAGCCCGAGCTACTCGGTAGGTGATGTTAGCCTGACGTGCTCCTTTCCCCGGATTGGCCGACAAAGGGTCCCTTTGGCCACCTCCCTCCCTTTCACCTTCCATTTGGTCAGTCACCGGCATAAATGGTAACAGCAGGCCTCTTCATCTACTATTCGGGCAGCTGCCTTAAATCTTAGCCCACCGTAACGGAATCCTCTGCTTTTCACTTCCCGCATGAAATCCCGCCCTTAGCCCCTCTAGATGATAAAAACCTCCTTAGATAAAGACAAGCACTTTTTTTTTTTTTTTGGGGTCCGGTCGTGGGGCCTGACCTCTGGGCCTGGGCGCTGTCCCTCAGCTCTTCAGCTCAAGGCTAGAGCTCTACCACTTGAGCCACAGTGCCACTTCCAGCTTTTTTCTTTTTGCTTATGTGGTGCTGAGGAATCGAACCCATGGCCTCATGCATGCAAGGCAAGCGCTCTACCACGGAGCCACCTTCCCAGCTCCAAGACAAGCACTTTTTCTCTCCTGTAAGATAACTAGCCTTGTCCTCTCCTCGGCTGACAATAAACCTCTTTCTCTGTACCTGACTGTGTGTCTCTGTGTTCTTCTGGGATGGTACTTTCAGGTGAAGTTTGGGGATTAGAATTTGAGGGCAGACAAGCAGAAAGTAAATTTGCGAGACTCCATCTCAACTGGTGGCTAGGCAGAGTAGCCCATACCTGTTGCTCCAGTGTCAGGGGAAAGCACAAAATAGAAGGATCACAGCCCAGGCCCACCCAGGAATAAAGTGAGACCCTACCTAGGATTTTTTTTTTTTTTAGAGAAAATAACCAATGAATGCCGGGCGCTGGTGGCTCACGCCTGTAATCCTAGCTACTCAGGAGGCTGAGATCTGAGGATCGCGGTTCAAAGCCAGCCCGGGCAGGAGAGACCGTGAGACT